GATTTAATGTCATGAGTGAATTTAATAGAGAGATAAAATTTGCTGATGTCTTTTATTTAAATTTCCAATTATTTAAATAAATCGTTGGCTCCTATGTCTCTCTAGTATCTGCTTCTACTTTCAACTTGTGTTCCAGATTAAAAAGTTTCTCTGTGAACTAGATCTCTGAGTTAATTGGATTACATCGATTTTGTATTTTGCCGAAGGGAATCCGAAACCTATTAATTACATAATTCATACGTCTTACACAATTATCATAAGCTTCCTCGTACGCAGTTTCGAAAGTCTGTACCCTTATTTATGTGTCATCGTTAAATCACCAATTTACAGGCAATCGTTTTTACATTTATATAATACATTCGACTATATAAAATAAATAAATAAATAAATAAATAAATAAATAAATTATACGTGTAGCTTGCATGGAATTCCACTTCTTTGCCTGGAGGCTGAATTGCAATGTTAGTTTTTGTGTCAAGTAATTTCCACCGTCAATTATAACTTCCTTTAACTGCAGCCACGTATGGCAATTTCTTTCCGATGGCCGAGAATAGAAATGACAATTCTCTTAACAACAATTGCTCGGTAATGCACCTCGTGGCCTTGTATAAATTCTGGCTAATATTTCCTGCCTTAATGTCTTATTTCCCTTCGAGAGGACTCGATCTAAAAGGAAATAACGTTGCGACTATTTCCTTTTAGAAAATAGTTCATATACTGATAGAAAATCTGTGTTACAAAATTTGTTATGATTTTGTAATCGCTAGTTGCGACATTTAAGCGAGTCATGCTCCGTTTTTCAGAAACTTTCCGATGTAAAATTACTAATTTACTTTTTATTGAACGTTGCACAAAAGTGGCATTGCAGACACACTTATGTTCTTAATTTTTATTGTGAATTATTTAATTATTAGATACGATGTAATGGGAATTAAAATTAGGCTAATGGTATTGATCAGTACTTTTATTTCATAACATTGAAATAATTTGATACATAATATTAGTATATAACATACTCTTAAATACCTAAGAATCCTACAAATATTTAATATAAGTATACTTAAATGTTAAAATTATCCAGAGCTTATCTTCGTTAAAATTAAAATATAATTATTATTCCCTGTAATTGAAAATGCAACGATAAACGTTTTTAATATAAACATTTTATAATTATCTTCTAGCTTTAATTAAAACTCGATTGAACAGCGTCGTGGCACTGCAAGCCTAAATTGATCGTCTAAATATTTACTCCTAGCAAACATATTTCCAACGAAATGCAGTAAATGCAGTTGAGTATGTATAAAAGCAGAGTTACTGCAATGCAACACCGGAATACATTGTGAGCAAGAGTAAACTTTCCATATCACATACGGGCAGAATAGATAGCTTGTATAATTCACATAAAGCAAATATAAAACTCAAAAGTTCCATACAATATTTATAAATCGCATGAGTCTTAACAATTTTTTTTTAACATCATATCAATTACAAAAATAATAAGGATTTT